AAATATTGGGGATCAAACACTAAATTATTAGGGATCACATACTACTCGACTTTTAAGCTTTTGCTGAACCGAACGGAACTCACTGAACTCACGTGAGCTCATGCAAATTCATGTGTTCTCCCATTACAAGGAGATGCAAATAAACAAACATAGAACGGCTCGCTGCTGCTGCTGTTTTCTCTGCCGTTTGTGCTGGAACACTAAAGAAGCAGCAGGTAAACATGTTTAAGTGGCTCATGGATTTAAAAATGTGATCAGTGTGGTAATTTTTAGAGGTTTAAACATACATAAACTCAATTATGCGTGTTCACTGAACTCAGCTCATTAAAAAGCTTCGCTCCACTTGAGTGACATTTCACCATTTTTTTTTCTTTATTTACTTGCTGTATTTTCTTTTTCGCGCTCTGTTTTCATTGGTTGGTGCAGGAATCCGTTCAGATTGAGTTGTTGATCAGTTTACACTAGATTTCACTCAGCGTCAGGTCAAAAAAATTAAACGTTTGATAAACTCCGACTGGTCTGAAAAATGATTGGGAGGCAGTAAATCTGAGTCTGTGCCGCTCACACACAACTCAATTCTCTCTCAAACTGTCAATTCCAAAAGACCCAAAAATCTCCAGACTAAATTCAACAAGCACCAACACAGCCAGAATGAAAATCTGGACTAAAAATGGGGTAAAAGTCATGCAGTGTAAACCTAGTTTAATAAGAACTACATATGAATCAAACACAACATTTGTGTTTGAATTATTTGAATATATCACTTTTTTCTGGACTAAACATTATCTTTTCAATCTCCAACTCTCTCCCATCGACATGCTGCTGAAGAGTCTTTAATATGGACACATGATTGAAACAGACAAAGATTAGTTGAACAATTCAGTGTTTAATTTGTCTACAAACACAGCTGACTTGAGACATACTTTTTTATTAGAAGCACATCCAGATTAATGTCCATTTCATTATCTTTCATTATTTTCAGCTGGGAGACGCAATCAGCAAGATGCCAAAGTATCTTTTATCTGTTCATCAAAAACATCATGGTCTATCATTGGCCTGGGGAGGGGTCAACACACACACGTGACATTTTTAGTTTTAAATACATTTTAATTTTTATTTACAATGTATTTTGAAATCCTTTTTTCAATTATTTGGAACTTTTTAATTTATCATTTAACATTTGAAGCTCATAGATAGAAAAAAACAACTAGACAACACATGGGACAAGTATGTTCTTGTGTTGATGTGTCTCCCTCTAATTCATTAATTAGACAAATTTAAGTTAATGTAAAAGTACTATAATTATTCTACTTAAAGCCCTATTGCTCAAAAAAATGCACTCAGGACTCAAAAGTATCAAGAGTAATTTACAGTTTCTTAATTTCCTCTACCTAGGTGTCCATTCATGTATCTTTATGCTTGTTTTAACATATCCAATAAAGCATACTTTCATGAATCTAAGATGACTGCAGCTGACTAATGAATGTCCTGAGTCAATGTGTTCAGATTCTGCATTCATTTGAATTACAATAAAGCCATAAACTTAAACAAAACAGCACTGAGAAGCTGCCTACTGTGAAACGTTAAAGCTGTGTCTGTAATCTTGCTCCATCTTTCTCCGAAGTGTTTTTACATAGAGAATTTTGTTCTCTTGTGCAGAGAAAACGGAGATGCTGCCTAATTTACATATTTCAGTTATTTGCTGGAATTTAATTTGACAGCTGAAACCTACAGGGCCCTGTGTGAAAAAGTGACCTTTAAAACATAAATTAACTGTGGTTTATCATATCTTTTGGAAAGTTGAGTTCAATTTCCCTAGCCACACCCAGGCCTGATAACTGCCACACCTGTTATCAATCAAGAAATCACTTAAATAGGACCTGCGACAAAGTGAAGTAGACCAAAAGATCTTTAAAAGCTAGACATCATGCTGCGATCCAAAAAGCTTTGGGACTCCAGTGAACCACAGTGAGAGCCATTATCCACAAATGGCGAAAACAAGGAACAGTGGTGAACTTCCCCAGGAGTGGCAAAATTACCCCAAGAGCGCAGCGATGACTCCACCATAAGAAAGAGACTGGGCAAAAATAACCTGCTTGGCAGAGTTCCAAGATGAAAACCACTGCTGAGGAAAAAACATAAAGGCTCATCTCAGTTTTGGCAGAAAGCATCTTGATGATCCCCAAGACTTTTGGGAGAATACTCTGTGGACTGACGAGACAAAAGTTGAACTTTTTGCAAGGTGTATGTCCCATTACATCTGGCGTAGAAGTAACACAGCATTTCAGAACTGGAACATCATACCAACAGTAAAATATGGTGATGGTAGTGTGATGGTCTGGGGCTGTTTTGCTGCTTCAGGACCTGGAAGACTTGCTGTGGTAAATGGAACCATGAATTCTGCTGTCTACCAAAAAATCCTGAAGGAGAATGTCCGGCCATCTGTTCGTGACCTCAAGCTGAAGCGCACTTGGTTTCTGCAGCAGGACAATGATCCAAAACACACCAGCAAGTCCACCTCTTTGGAGTGGCCTAGTCAAAGTCCTGACCTGAATCCGACTGAGATGCTGTGGCATGACCTTAAAAAGGCGGTTTATGCTCAGAAACCCTCCAATGTGGCTGAATTACAACAATTCTGCAAAGATGAGTGGCCAAAATTCCTCCACAGCCCTGTAAATAACTCACTGCCAGTTATGCGCAAACGCTTGATTGCAGTTGTTGCTGCTAAGGGTGGCCCAACCAGTTATTAGGTTTATAATAATATATAATTTTTATATTTATAATAATAAAGATCTTCATTTATAAACTGCATTTTGTGTTTACTTGTGTTATCTAATTTAAATTTGTTTGGTGATCTGAAACATTTAAGTTTGACAAACATGCAAAAGAATAAGAAATCAGGAAGGGGCAAACCCTTTTTCACACCACTGTGTGTGTGTGTGTGTGTGTGTGTGTGTGTGTGTGTGTGTGTGTGTGTGTGTGTGTGACAGTAGAGCAGATGTCCCCTTATCTTAAAATGTAACTTTTATGACATTAATGTGTTGCATTTTCCCCCAAAGCAATGTCTATATTACCACTCCATTATTACACCTATATAACAACTACACAGGAACTGTCCACTTATTTTAAAGTGTAACTTTAACACTACACTGCATGGGAAGTTCCATGTGTATCTACATGAGGCAAAACTGAAGTTCATACACATGTAATTACATAGCCTGTACTTCTGTAATCCATCTAACATTGACTAAGTCATCAGTAGTTACAGTGTTGTTGCATATGTTATTGAAGTATAACTACACAGTTATTAGAGACACTTAATATAAAGTGGGACCAAAGACAGCTAGTGTCATACAGTGGAATAATACAGAGATTAAATCTGTTATTTTAGGATAATAAAATTATTAAAATAATTACACTAAACAATCACTCTACTCTCTTTAAAACACATTATTATTTCACATTTTATTTTTTCAAGTTGTTATAATTTTAATGCTATTAAGTTTGGTCAGTAGGTGTAGCAGTGCACTCACTGCTGGACATCAAACTCCACACACAAGCATTAGCTTTCTTGCCCAACATTGCCATTTTATTGGCTGGCTACTGAACTTGAGAGGTTTCAAGTTGAAGTATTTACCAAAGGATTTACGGAAACACTAAAACATGCACAATAAAACACATTACAGACTTTAAATATCAGATTTTAAACTGGTGCTGCCATCAGTGTTTTACCCAACATGGGAAAGTCAATATACACCACCGTTAGCTTGGCACTAACTTAACACTGCATATCTAATAGAATGCTAACAGAGATTAGCATTAGTGTAGTGTACTGTTGTGTAGTGTTTCAGAGTGAAGGTTTCTAGTGCTTGACGTAAGAACCAGTGAGGGAACAAATTACAATGACAGCACTCTATCTCGCCTCTCCTTCTCCAGGCCTTCACTCCACAGTAACTTCATGTTCAGTTTGATGTCAGAGGGGGTTCAGGGGAGGGGCTCATGGGTACTTGGTTGTGTAGTGTTTGGAAATAAAATATTGGAAATTCGATGGCCTAAAAAAAACTTAATGTATTTGTCTTTACGCTCTCCAAACTGGGACTGACTTCTTTGGCACTGACAATATAACATGTCATTAACACTACTTTATAATGCTTTGTTAACAATTCATAAGGTATAATAAACATGGCTATAAATTGTAATTCTGTGTAATTAATTTTTATAAATATTTATAACCATATTTATAATGCCTTATGAATGCATTATAACATGTTATGTGTTTATAAATGCATAAAACATGACATTTATAGAAAGTGTTACCACCCTCATGCCACTGATCTGTCAGTTTTGTCTATTCAGTGGCCTGGTTCCAACTTCTATGTTGTGGTGAACTAAAAAAATACATATTAATTAATTTTTATTACATATCTTTTATCACAGCTAGACACATGCCTAGATAGGCTATGTGTCTAATCAGAAGAACCCTCTGGGCTAGCCACTGTGTTTAGTAGCTCATGGCATTTGCATGATTAGCCTAATGACATTCATAAAGTTTATGAAAAAATGTGCTCACTCAGTATCGAGCCATGAATCTATCAACTTTTAAAAACTAAAACAGATAGCGAGACTCGGCCCACCACCTAATTGAGGGACGGTCAATTCCAAAAGAGCAGAATCTTTGACTTGAACATGTCTTTGAGTCAGTCTCAACTTTTCTTCAGTGACTCTGAGAGTCTAGATGCTTGGAGTCGACTCTCTCATCATATATATGTCATTCATATTTTAAATGTAGAAAAGGATCTGGGGCTATTGGAAAAACCTTCAGGGCTATAGCCCAATAGGCTAGAGAAGGGGTCTGAAGCACAAGTGATGTTACAAGTTGTTATTTTGTACATTGTGTGCAGTTACACATTTCCACCTGCGAGGGCTCCAAATCACCAAATCTTATATTGAGTAGCTTTGAAATGACTTTAAAACGACAAGCAATCCAAAAGTAACAGAAGTTAATCAGATTACATAACTTTAATATACTACTTCTTTGGATTAGATAATAGATTGCAGTTTTTAACAGGTAATCAGTAATCTGTACCCAAAAACTATTTAAAAGTAATTCTCCCAACCCTGTTGGTATAGCAAGGTATGCTTGATTTAATATATGATTGATTAATGATCCAAATGAATACAGGACATCATGCTAGTCAACATTTAAAAATGCTTTTTGTTACATTGATCAAAGAAATGTTCAAAAGTTAATTTGTTAACAAATCTGTATCAGATTTGACAAGGGTAGAATATGTTCCCTACCCATGTCTGTGCATTCTAATGATAATTCTACACACTTAATCAGCATAGATTACTATTTTCTGGTTTTACAGCTCCTAAAGAAACAATCCTGCACCTGTTGTATACTCCATACGCATTCATACAGGAAACATGATTTCTGTGAAATAGCAAATCTAGAATGTCCAACTGACTAAAAGCATGTCCAGGCTTGGATGGATATCAATGCTACCCTAAATTACTTTTTTCTATATATATTTTTTTTTTTCTTTTTTAAAACTAGTTTGTTGTTTTAGACTTTAACTCCGTCCATTAATGTGTAAAGAAACAAACATTTGATCACAGAAAATATTCACAAGTTACAATGATAAAATTCTGATGGAAAGGTATAAAGGTCAAATAACATGTTTATAGCAGCAGACCTCAGCTTTTATCTTTTCAAAAACGTCAGAGAAGTTCCTCTTTCCTTATCACCCAGGTATGTTTTAAGAAACACCTGCACTTCCGGATTGAAGAGGTCTATGTGGAAGTCTTTGACTGTTTCAAGTTCATCGTAACTGATGCTGCCTGTGCACAGATCTTTCAGACCCCAGCTGACAACTCCAACCTGTTAAAGATAAATCAACATATGATCAAACTTCTCACCTTTTTTGGAGCATGACTTCGTTACATTTTTCAGAATAAACCTGAAGAATTGTACGGTGCAAACTGTTATCTGATTCTTTCAAGGCATTTTCACATAAATCTAGGGATGTCATGATTAATTAAACGATAACTCAGTGTTGTTTGTCATAAAAATGATCTCAATTAAACATTGATTTGGTTGGCAGTTTGCCAGATAATATTGCATGTTTTAAATTCTTCTACAGTAACAGACTCAGAGCCTGACAGACTCACCCATTTATATGCATTTTATGCATAAGTATTTTGGAATCTTTGAAAGGCTCTGCATAGTTTGTCATTGTTCAAACAAGTCCATTTGTATTGTTTGGCCTCTTAAATACTTGGATTACTGTCCCTACACAAAACTGAATCATCAATTATAAATTAGAAGGGGAAAGAAGATTTGAACTCTGACCTGGAATGCCCGAAACCTTTGCTGCACAAATGTAGCCCCACCAGAATCGGCTGAAAAATTCCACAGACATTCATGTATGACATGATATTCCATTCATATTATTTAAAACAGGAAGACAGATTACAATGTAATCACAAACAAAGACCCCTTTGTTACCCTCAGATTAGCTACATAACTAAACTAACCAAGAATCTTATACAGAGATGCGGGTTTAAAATCTAACACATTTAAAGAGGAATTCCACCGATTTTACAAAATGTCTGCATAACACAGAGATGTAAACTGCTGTGACCGAAATCCTTATTCACTCATTAGTACTGCCCTATTTAGGGGAGAACTATTTAGTTTACTAAATAGCGATAAAAATCAATAAATGAATTTGGAAACTTTATCTGCCTCTACAGTCACAAAAAACAAACAAAACAACATGAGTTGCTTGAGAGGCTAAAGTTGGCTTCTCATTCATAGCCATAGACATGAGCATAATGTTGGAAAAAGATGAATAAAAAATGTAAAAACTCAATTTCATATTTAAAAAGGTTGACCCTCAACTACATCTCTGCCTGAGACAATTTTTATGAAAATTTTAGAAGAAAGTTTTGGCCTAAGTTGTACTTTTAAAATGCAATCATGAAAGAGAGGGACATGCAGGGCATTTTAAGGTAAAATCTTTCTTTTTTTTTTTGGATTTACTACTATTTTACAACTATAAACATCACATATAAACCCTCAGAAGATAAGTTCACTGGATGTTTTGGATAGTGTAAATGTCTATATGAATGGTTTTGTTTGCATTGTAGACATCACAGCCCCTGCTTCCTATCACTGCCATTAAAAAAATGAGAAGGGGTAAGTTTCATTACAATCCACTATCAATCCACCATGGCGAATGATTTTGTTTACTATTACATTATTCAGAAATTTTGAAAAAAACTGTTTCTCCTTTAACATGTTGCAAGGCTACAGTGCATTTAACCTGTGTCTAGAAAGCTGTTCCTGAATTGTGTATTATTATTTAATTGATGAGAAATTACCTTTGCAAGAAACCTCATCCATATGATTTTGTTCCAGTCCACCAGTGCACAGGAAATTGTCTGTAATAAGTAGCCTTGCTTTTTCATTGGAGATATTTAATGCCTTTTTGGCATCTTCAATACATGCATCCCTCTAAAGAAGGAGGAAAAACAGAATAGTTGCACATAATCATGAATGTGACATAGTGATTAGTGATACATGTGAGGCAGTAGAATGAAACATTTCTGTACTGGACAGATGTAAATAGTGCTGTAACCCCGCACACACACACTTTGTTTAACCACATGTACAATCTGAAACGAACTGATTCTTAAACCTTCCGACATATAATCAATGTCAAAAATGTCAAAAAAAGAGTTGTGTCTCCAGAAAAGCAACTTTACAGCAGAAGGAAAAAATGTTGTTAACTTTCAATCAAGGTCAAGATTTTATTCTTTATTGTAAGTTATTTAAAGCATTTATATTGGTTTGTTTATCATGAAACTGCACAATGTAAAGGACAACTGCTGTGTTCAAATAACAGGGAAATCCTACCATTTAAAAAAAGACTTATAGTTATATTCCAAATTTCACTGATGAACACTTATGCAACTCAAACAGCCCAATAATTATAAATGGTTTCCACTGAGCAGGCAGTACTCTACTTCAAGTTGTGCTTACTCTTCAATTAGTGAGGTTAACTTGAATCGAATATTCTTCCTTTTGTAATATATTGGCATCAATTAAAACAACTCCATAATATTAAATATACTGCTTTGTACAGTAACAAATAAACAGCCTAGATAAGACTAGAATCACCATCTCTGAGGACTCTAACATCTTAATGAATATTTGCCATTCTGGTAGCATTCATGGCTCTAGGCTGAGCTGGCAAACCTGAACATAAAACACCATCATGGTGAGAAAAATAAATGTAATAATGCAAAATGCATACAGATTTTGGAAAGTTTGGAAGTTTGGAAAATGTCTGGCCTACAGCTGAAATGGAGATTTTGATTGGTTCTGCTAAGGAGTTTGTGTTTAGTTTTCTGTCTGTGTCAGAACCCTATAAGTGTTAGTGTGAACTCAATGAAAAGTGGTAGGCTGAAATCCTGTTTTGGCAATGACAGCAAGAGCTACTGTATGTTAGTGTGTCTCACTAATGACTGTAGTAGATTCTTCTTTAAGTACAAATACCTTTCCTTTTTAAAAAAATGTCTTACAATTTAGGAGTTCTTCATAACCAAAACCAGTTAAATGTAACTTTACCTTATGCCCCTGTTTGATTTTGACATTGTTCTTTGGAAGAATGCCTTGTTTTGGTTTAGATGACATGAAGAATGCATCTACAAGGTCACCACTCAGCAGCTCTTCCTCTGTAAGGGAACAAATGCAAGTGTTTTGATTTGTAATGTAACAACATTTCATGTCTATTGTGATTTTGTTGGTATACTTGTTGGCAAGCGTATATATTCATACATACTTCTACATACTACATTTTTTACTCACTATGTTTTGCACACGTCACATCCCTGCCAGGCAATCTTAGAGCCACACTTGTCTCCTTGGTGCAGGGAATGCAAACAGGTCTAGGATTGAGTTATGAGTAGAGTTATGAATATCGAGTTCTCACGATTCAGGCAAGAGTGCACTTTAAGCAAAGAGCTGTGTATAACTTTTTTGCTTTAAGGCTATAGTAATGTCAAGGTTAAGTGTTATGATTCTGTTTGTTTTATTTTACAGTTTGGGAAAGCTTGCGCTATGTGTTATTTTTTTTGTCTTTGGAAAGGAAAGTGGCTAGCAGGTATTCTCCTCCTGTGCCTTTATTGTCAAACACAAACAACCTGTGTACATTAGGTTTTTGTAATTATGATTTTATCAGTAGTATTCACAGAGACCACTCACCTGAGACTGGCATCAGCCTCTATTCCATTTTCCAGTTCTATGAGAGCCACATCATTTTCATAATACTCCAAAGTTCCCTCCATTTCACCTCTGGGTTCGTATTTTGGATGAATTATTAAATTCTTTGCCTTTAGTGGTTGCAAGTCTAAAAAAAGAAGAGAGGGGGTTACTAGTACCACTGGTTATTACTAGTTAACTATGTTTTGCTATCTTTGTCTTGTTTTATTTCATTCACTTTCAAATCAAAAAGAGTATGTTTGTTATAATTGCACACAGTACTTTTGCCAGTAGGTGTCTCGAGTTTGATATTATCAAGAACATCTTCAAACTTGAAGCAGTGGGCCGCAGTTAGAATGAATGAAGGAGAGACCAGTGATCCCAAGCAATTTGATGCTTTGCCATCTTTGCGCTGTGAAGAGCAGGGAAAAAAAGAATGCTACATACTGTATATTTACCTTGTTAATGTTTACTAGTCAAATTTCTAACAGTTCAAAAAATAAAGTTTCTAAATCAGGGGTGCGTCACTCCGGTCTTGGAGGGCCAGTGTTCAGCACCATTTTGAGGTTCATTTATTCAGACACACCCACTAAAACTTACAATTAATAGATGAGTTGCATCAGATGTATCTGAGCACCAAAAATATCTGATGCATAGTTTGGTGGAAAACCACCAAACTATGTTGGACACCAGCTGGAGTTGTGCACCCCTGTTCAAAAATAATCTTGCTCACAAAAATGGCCGTAACTCAACAACTACAAGGCATTTGTGTTATGAAGGAACATCTAATCCTACTACCTTTCAGAAAACTAAGTATATTTCAGTAAAGTGTAGTCTGCTTAGGCAGAGTATCTGTGAATATATGAGCTTACATCCAGATACAAAATAGAATACATCAACAATATTCAAGGACATGCTCACAGTCACATAAAACTGGATGAGCCAGGGGTATCTACGGCGCCTGGTTTCATCACTATTGTCATCATAGTCTCTGTAGAGTCCACACAGACGACATGGAAAACGATCAATGCTTTGATCTATGTGTAGAGAAAACACATACGGTGAAAGTAGCAGATGCAGCAGTAGACATAAATACAATAAAACACAGCCCAAATTTAGTATGATCTCATATATACATAAGAGGAAAACAGATCATCACACAAACTATGCTTAATACAAAGAAGAAGTATATAAATACCAATCATCTCATCAAAGGTTCGTTGCAACTCTTTCATGTTTCTGAATAAGAAGAAATGCTTTTCATTTGGTCTTTTTGACACCCAGTCATCAATATCCTCCTTCTGTACATCTTCCCCCACTCCAAACGCATATAGATCTGTAAAACGACAATATCTGTGTAAGTGCATACATATTGCAATTACTAATATAATCCAGTGGTTCAGTCTGAGTATTAAGCACTATAACAAGGAAAATATGCATGGATAAGAGGGCATGGAGTCACCTGGTAGCTGTGGCAGACTAACAGACTAAAAAGTGCAGTAGAAAATTTTGAAGCACAAAGAGGAGTACATTTTATTATTCACAAATAAACTGAATTAATAAAATTTCCACTTCAGCCATGCATGTCGTAGAATTAAGAAAAAGCACGCAGACCACTAAAAAAGATTGTAAACAAAAGATAAAATATTGTCATTCAGAGTAATTTGATGTGAAATGCTTACAGTGGTGGTGATAGAAACTACGTCTTAAGACTTTAATGCCTCTTAAAGCTCCCTCACAGAAAGTTATTACATAAAATATTTTTTAACATGCTGCCTGAAGCCTGAGACACTATTTTACAACAGTTTTGAAATCTATTTTTTTTTTTTCCCCATTTGTTCATAGTGGAGAGATGCATGCACAGCATTGTAAGACACACAGGCCCACCACAGAGCAGGTACTATTGGGTGGTGGATCATTCTCAGCACTGCAGTAACACTGATGTGAAGGTGTGTTAGTGTGTGTTGTGCTGGTACGAGTGGATCAGACACAGCAATGCTGCTTGAGTTTTTAAACACTGTGTCCACTCACTGTCCACTCTATTAGACACTCCTACCTTGTCGGTCCACCTTGTAGATGTAAAGTCAGAGATGATAGCTCATCCACCGCTGCACAGTTTGTGTTGGTCATCCTCTCGTCCTTCATCAGTGGTCACAGGATGCTGCCCACAGGATGCTGTTGGCTGGATATTTTTGGTTGGTGGACTATTCTCAGTGCAGCAGTGACAGTGAGGTGTTTCAAAACTCCAGCAGCACTGCTGTGTCTGATCCACTCCTACCAGCACAACACTCACTTACACACCACCACCACATCAGTGTTACTGCAGTGCTGAGAATGATCCACCACCCAAATAGTACCTGCAAACGTTGAAATTACTTTTTTCTCATAGGGCCAGGTAGGATTTTACCTTCAATAAATGAAATCATCATTTAAAAACAGCATTTTATGTTTCCTTGGATTATCTTTGTATACTATTGAAAGTAGTTTGATGATCTGAAACATGCAAGTGTGACAAATATGCAAAATAGAAGAAATTAGGAAGGGAGAAAATACTTTTTCACAGCACTGTAAAGAAGTGGCCAGTCAGTATATATTCTCACCAAGAAATTCATCCTGTTTCAGTTCATCTCCATTGTACACAAGTTGCTTGATTTCATTAACAGTGTGTGCAGGGTTTCCTCCCATAGTGTACATACCTGCGGATACAATAAAATAGGATCAACTGAAATTAATCATTTGCTTTGATTATGCTATCATACTAAAAATGCTATGTACAAAGACAGGATCAATACCATCAGTGAACATGATGATGACATGATGGGTTTCACTGAAGGCTGTTATATTGCTGGTCTTCTCAAAACTCATGCTGTCCAAAATAGTTTTGTAGGCTTTAGCAATATTTGTTCCTGATTTTTGTCCTTTTTCTGCCAATTACAAAACACCATATAAAAAAGGAGATGGTACACAGTTTTCATTAAACTGTATAAAGGAATCAAAAACTAAGGTTCAATTGTCACGCCACTGCTACATAATACACTGCCTTGCATACAATAAAGAATACAGTTTAACTGGCTGGTGAAATGCTTATACGTGGATTGTGTTTACACGAACTGGAATTGGAAACATTTAGTCCACTTTGGCTCAGTTTGAGTGCATTTCTTCTCAAACAGGTGTAAAAAAGAGATCAAAAGCTCACCATCATATTTATAATTGTTCAGTGTTTTGATAATTTTATACAGCTTTTTTTCATCTTCCCTTTTGTAATCTGTGATGCTAACTATTCTTGTCACCTCTGTGGCAAAAATGATGATCTCATAATTTGGAGAGACCTCATAGTAGCTGATCTGTTGATAAACAGGATAAAGTTGAAAGACAGTCAGGACTGCATTCAACGTAAATGTGAAACTGAAACTGAATTATAGTGTTTATTTTAAAAATAAAACCCGAAAAACAGAGTTATGGATGTGAACAAGTTATTCCAAAACCATTTAGGCTACATGTTAAAAATACTGGTATGGAGAAACCTGAACAATCAGGCTTTAATCATTAAAGTACACATTCTGAAAGTCCAACTTTTATTCCGACATACCTTATCTATGAGCTTTATAATGATCTCTTTTGCCCGATCAAAGTCTTCTTCCTCTGTGCTGACAGATGCATCCAGAGCAATGTAGATGTTAAGTTTTCCTTTCTGGTCCAGGCTGATTTTCCCTTGTTGTTTTGATGTGTAGTGTTATGTATACATTAAGGAGGTTAAACATATAAATAATTAATGTAATGAATGTCAATAAAATGCAAATTTGTGTAAAAGTTTGCATCACTTATAATAACTTATACAAAGTATGTGGAAATACTATGATCTAGACACCAGAAGGTACTTCCAAGATGTTTTATTTAAAGGTTTTAGTTTTTGGGAGTATTAAAAAAGTTACTAAATGATACACAACGTACTGTAACTATTTATGTATAATTTATTGAGAAGCTATCTGCCTGAGATTTGATCACCATGTTTCAAATACGAGGCATCGTTAGTATAAGTTCATTAAGTGGGCATTCTCAATGTTTCACAGCTTTCTCAGTCATGAAGGAATCATCTAAAGCTTAGTTTTTTTTTTCCTTTTTTAACAGCTTCCAACAAATTAGTTATTAAAATAGTTGTAGAGTAGTGGCATCACAACCGAGGTGTTCATATATTTGTATGCAACTTTTTTTTTTTTTATTTTACAGAAAACAGTGATTCTGAATTGTGATTCCAGACTTTTGAATGCTAGTGCATTATAAATGAACAAGGAATCTATAGATGTACCAGTTTTTCTTTTATTCCTATATTTCAGTTTTTTCTTACCAACTCGGTACTATATTGAAAATGTATGTTGTGAATGTCTGCTCTACCATTTTCCTTGTGTGGAATTAGAGTCTTTAGAGTGCTGCCAAAAGCCTCTGCTACTTCTGCTGGGGTGTCATATGTGAAATCAGCTGCAATGAGAAAAAAGGAACACATCAGAAACCCAGTATCAGTAAAACCACTCATAAACCCTTTACTGTTTGTAGGCTATAGAATGTTATTTTGGACTGCTCTTTGTTTCCTGTGGTAGGCTACTGTGAGGGACTCACCGTAGCACTCCGGCTCTCGTCCTGACCACTGGCCACTATCCTGACACACACGCATTTTGGAGCCCAGCAGTTTTAGCTTACTATCACAGTGGTAGGTCACTTTGTCATTACTATTGAAGATGTGCCCTGTTCTGCTGGCACCAGGGGGTGTGCCAGGATCAGGGCAGTAATCAGCTGTGGGTTGGAGATGTTTCTCATTAGACACAGATGGGCAAAGTTTGAGGTTTGTGCAATGAGCATTCATGTAGACACAGCCAATCAGAACAGAGATCATTTGCATTTCTAAGTGATAAAGAGAAATTGGAAAATTTAAATGTAAAAATGAATTATGACAGTTTTTGGTACCTAAACCCTCATAAACATGACTGGACCTACAAGAAAAAAAGGCTATATGGCATTTAATAACGTTTTCTTTTCAGTTGTGCAAATTTTAACACAACAAAGCAATTTAAGCTCTGGCCAGTAGGAGATATAGTGAAGACTCCAAATGATTTGGCCTAAATTATGATTTACCCAGGGTAAATCATAATTAAAGACCCAGGCCCTTCTTGCTGTCGCCTCACAGCAAGAAGGGCCTGGGTTCGATTCCTGGCCAGGCAACCAGGGTCTTTTCTGTGTGGAGTTTGCATGTTCTCCCTGTGTCTGTCTGGGTTTCCTCCGGGTGCTCTGGTTTCCTCCCACAGTCCAAAGACACACAGTCAGGCTGATTGGACATGCTAAATTGCCCCTAGGTGTGAGTGTGTATGTCTGTCTGTTTGCCCTGCAATGGACTGGCAACCTGTTGAGGGTGTTTCCTGCCTTCTGCCCAATGACTGCTGGTATAGGCTCCAGCTCTCCCTGTGACCCAGAAGAATAAGCAGCTTGGAAAGTGTGGGTGTATGTTATGATTTACCAATCCTTGTCCTGGCGACCCCGCACTATGCATAAATTTGTGATTTGTCTCATCTAGCCCCCGTAATTCAGCTACTTTATTTTTCTAAAAAAAAAAAATGAAATATGAATATGAAAAAGAAATATATGCCTTATATATATAATTGTCATGTTTGTTATCTTTAAACTGTACATGGTATTGCAGTAATACTCTTATTTTATTATTATTTATTGATTTAAAAACAAAGGTTAAATTCCTGAAATGCCTAAATTATTCAATCAAGATTTTTCTTCTCTGTGGTAATGAGATTGATACAGCCAAGCCACTCTCTCATTGGTTAGGACTCCGGGAGCTAAATGAAGGCCATGTGTGAAATTAACCTCTAATGAAGTCACATAATAACATAATCAAGAACCTAGTCAAGAACTGGTGGAATCAACTAATCATGCTTAAATTTACAAGGGTAGGACTACTTTTATGAGAAAAAAAGTCACTCTAGGTATTGTGGATGTCCTAGACATGCCACTGAATGTGAATAAGAGTGGTGGCCACAATCAGTGCATTTGCAGCCATATGAGAACTCTTTACAGAAAGTGTCACTGCAAAACTGCTACAACATGAAATATGTGTTAATATGTCTGTTACACACTTCAAATGTCTGTGTTTAATCTATAATGTCCAAAAAATGTTTGCCATTAGCTTACTTCCTTTTTTAGCATGCTACTATAATCCCATAGGGGTGCTACAAAATGATCATTTTACAAAAAGCCTTGCTGTAATAGTCATGGTTATACATGACAAAGTGGTATAAGTGAAAAAGAAAGACATTAATAATCAGATTAAGACCACTATAGATGGTCTATACTTACAGTCACGACTACAAATCGGCGTGATGCCACTCCATTTGCCGTTGAGCTGACACACACGTGTGGGGGACCCCCGAAATGTGTAATCAGAATGACACCTGTAGGTGGTCGTGTCATTCACATAGTACAGTGTCTTATAGGGCTCTACATCTCCATTGTCCATAACATGTGGATTAGGACATGTGATCTCTGAAGAATTGGAAGGTGTAATGGTAAAAGATTGCTGAACGAAAATGACATAATGCTATGCTTTTAAAGTGATTCATTCAGGACCGTTTGTGAAGACTTACTTTTGCACTCTGATCGTCTTCTGGTGGGTACAGGATGCCACTTGCCTTTGGAACACTGCCGCATTTTTACAGGATATGGATAATAACCCTGTGGACAGCGGTACATCAGGATGCTGTCTTCATCATAATTATTGGAGAGAGTGAAGGTGCCTCCAGTGATGCTTAGGTTGCTATCCGAACACTTAAGTTCAGCACCTACACAGAAACAGACCGACCAGTAGGATCAAATATGTAGTGAAAGAGTAAGCAAGACGATACAAGAGCAAAGAGAGTATGGAAACATATCAGTATCAAAATTATAATGAAAATGTAATATGTAAAATAGCAGTGTATATGTATGTTTGCATTTAAATTTCCCACTCAATGTTGAGTACAGACATATATATGCTAACTTTTTAACTGTTAACTTATAGCATAGTTTTACAAAAAAATTAAATGTACATAATTATTCACTTACACAAAACATAGTTGATCAGCTACAACATGTTTACTTGGGCAAAGTTCAGCTTTCAAGGGGACTGCTACTGCTGTTTTTAACTATTCATTGCCAGTTTTTATATCTAATGGTATACAACCGTACTATCAAGTCGATTTGAGATTACTTAACAATACAGTTTAAGGCAATATGATGATTTAAGCATGAGTTTTGAACAGAGCTAATTGGTGTTGTATAAGCTTTAATATTAGCCTCGCAACATTTGGTGTGAAAGAGATACTGTGAATATTTTTTTTAAGGAACTGCTCATACAGGTACTGTTAAACCTTTTTGGAGTAATAGTCGACTTTTGGATGCTGAACTTTTCAGCACAGTAACATCACATCACATTACAACTTTTGTGTTCTGGGGTTTTGTGCACTTTATCTATAACTTAAAGTATTTCCACTTTAAAGAAGTATGTGAGAGTGGCAGAGTTTTAAATTTTTTAAATTTTAACAATCATTTCTTTCACAGGCTAAAAACAATATATCACTTGTGGCATTGCCATGTTGAAGTTCTTAAGAGTAATAAAAAATAAAAATAATGAAATATGTAAAAATACAATTTTCTGCTCTAAAGTTTATCAATGATTTTTTAGTAATGATGAGTACAAAGATGAGTACCTGATCCCAAAGACAAAGCCAACATAACTTACCAATCAAGAGAGGACAAAGGCCAATCATCACAAAAAAGAGTAAATAGCAACAAAGCACAGACTCCATATTGTGTTCCAGCTTTCTGTAAATGAGGCATGAAATAAAGAACTTGAAGTGTGGCACCACATTTATACAGTGGGGACAGAACTAAGACCTTATGGTCACTGTTTAACAGCAAATCAAACAAAGAGGATCAATGACCAGCAGTTCAGTGACTTCCTTTACAGACTGATTCTCCCAGTCTTAGCAAAGAGTGTAATTTCAGATTTAGGCCTATAACTAAGGAGGAACAATGAGTGCACTGTAAATAAGAGCTACTTTTTCTCTTAATCTTCACATTTAATATTGAATGTGTAAAAGAATTCATTTTCACATCACTCTTGGTATTTTAATAAAAATGAACACTGAAAATGTGTTAAATTAAATAAATAAAATACAATTTTATTAACATGAGCTTGAATATGAAGCAGAGTTTCCCGATCATAAGTAACGGCCATATACACTTGACAAAACAGTGACACACAACAGGTAGGAGGACACCTGAGTCGTCGCCCCGCACCATTGTCACCATGCCCCGAACTTTCTTCAAATTCAAGCACTGATTGCTTGAGACAGTAGCAGATTACAGCAGTTACTAAGCAGCGAGAGCACTGAGATCTCAGCGAAAAGCATAATTATTTGGCTGTAATGCAATGAGAGTTTAATAAACATTCTGTCCTCATTTGATGTGGGCCTGTGATCAATTTGGACCATTCCCACCCAGGCCTGGGCAGGTCTGGCAGTAATAAGAATCTAGGCTCTGATATTTCCTGGCATTGATCAGGGGTGGAAAATACTTTACGGTTCTATGGGCAAGTGCAAAGGGTTTTTACTACAGTGTTCACTGTAGTTCTGCATCTCGCCACCTAGTTCAGATCATGCACGTATTTTATTTTTGATTTCTCGCCTTACAGGCAAGACTTTAAACAGCTACTGCTGTTTAAACATACATAAATGTACAGAATCAGAATCAGAATAAATGTACAGAATCAGAATCAAATAAACAGTCTGAAAAAGACTAATTCTGCTTTTGACTGACCTCATGAAGGAAAGTCTAATGGGGAACTACTCGCTAAGATTCAGCAGGGCATTAGATCAGTTACTGAGCGTGTCACTTTTTGTAAAGGACTTAACTCAGATGTACTGTCTGAACTAGCATGTAAAGATGAAGGACTCTTGAAGAATTATATAACTTAGCGATTCATTTAGACCATCTGTTACACTCCAGAAAGACTCTGACCGGACCTACCAGCTCTCGTAGAAACTGTGAGAGACCCAGACCACCACTACTGACGGCACCAAACTGACAAGAATCCAACATGGACCCAAGCCCTATGCAGTGTGACTCTTTCTGTCTGACCCAGGAGGAAAGGTTTCATCATCTTCATGGAGAATTATGCCTGTACTGAGGCGCAGTTGGTCACATTTCATGTGACTGTCAGGATCATCTGCATAAGCTTCAGGCACCGACCCCTGGAAAGTGGTGAGTACTCCCACAAAGGTTTGTATGGAAGTCCTTTTTTCCGTCCAGATACTACTACACAACTGGCATACATATTTTCGGTAACGTTTCTGTTTATAGGTTTAATTAAAGCTTAAGTACATGTGCATTCATGATACAGTAAGGTCCACTTCCTCTCCACAAGTTTGGCTACTGATCATTTGTGTTTTATCAGATTATTCACTGCAAATTCTATTAAAGACATAAGTCAAACTATTGTGGTTCCAACTGACATGGTTCAAACTACTGTAGTCCAACCAAACAGCAACGGATTTGGGGAAAGAGTTCAAAGTTCTGGAGTTTTATTTTATTATTTTGCCTTTACAAAAATAATGGAAAGGCCAAAGTGTGGAGAAAGAAAGTATCTGCCCATGATCCCAAACATATCAGCTCATCGGTCAAGCATGGTGGAGGTAGTGTCATGGCTGGGGCTTGCATAGCTGCTTCTGGAATTCTGGCTGCAGACCTCAAGAGAGAAAAGGTTTGATGAAGAAGACTGATAATGATAGAAACATGTTGCTTCTCCAGAAACAGGATAACACTGCATTTATGCTACAGTATAGTGAAACTCTTGCCTCACTGATGGTTAGTCGCTTCGTGGGTGTGTTGCTAAGATGTAAGAAAGTTTCATTGCATGCAGAGCTGTAGGCTAAACAACACTGGAGCTTAAGATTGAGAAAAACCTTTTTTTGCTCTCTCTGTGTACATTGCACTGCTGATGCTCTCACAATCCCCCATGCACATCTGCCCTCTGTCTCCATGAAATATGAATGAGAAGTGAACAAAAAATGCCTCACTTCACTGTAATGCAAAAGCAATGTAAAACAAAAGAAGTATGTAAATAACAATTCAACATTGATTTGATGTGTTTATTTAGGCTTGAAACTGACTTGAAATGTTGCTTGCATTTATCAAACCTTTTTATTTTTCTTTGCATTGTCTTGTTCAAAGTATTTATTTTAGTTGAACCATTCATCATATTTAACCACTTAATCCAGATAGGGTCGTAGTAGCCTACAGACTCCATAGTCTTGCTGGGAGTCTTTAATGCTCATTGGCAATGACTGGGAAACCTGGAGGGGCTGACAGGGAAAAATGGCTTGCCTGATCTAAACTCGAATTCTGAAGCATTATTGGACTTCTGTGTTAGGCATGGATTGTCCATAATGAACACCAAGTTTGAACACAAGGACGTTCAGAAGTGTACGTAGTACCAGAACTCCTTGAGTCAAAGGTCAATCATCAACTTTGTCATTTTATCTGACTGGGACCGTATGTTCTGGACACTCAGGTGAAGATAGGTGCTGAGCTGTGAACTGATCACCATCTGGTGGTGAGTTGAATCAGATGGCAGGGAAAAATTTAGGTCAGACCTGGTAGTCCCAAGAAAATTGTAAGGGTGTGCTGGGAATGACTGGCAGAGACCCTTTTCAGAATGATTTTAACTCCCACCTCTGAGAGAGCTTTTCATAGTGCTGGAAGAAGTAGGGGACATGTAGTCTGAAAGAACCCTGTTCAAAACCTCCATCATGGAAGCTGCCAGGTGTAGTTGTGGCCAAAAGCTTGTTGGTGCCTGCCAGTAACCCCCAGTGGACACCAGTGGTGAGGGAGATGAAGAGAGAAGCCTTTAGGGACTGGAAGGTCCGGAGGACTCCCAACTCAACAGATAGGTACCGACAGGCAAAAAGGTGGCAGCGATGGCTAAAGCCAAATCCAGAGTGTGGGAGGAGTTCAGCGAGGCCATGGAAAAAGACTTTCGCTTGGCCTCAAGGATGTTCTGGACAACGATCCAGTCACTCTGGAGTGGTCGGGGTTGCTCCACCCAAGCTGTACTCGGTGAAGGAACTCTACCTTCGAATGAGGATATTGTCAGACAATAGAAGGAGCACTTTGAGGAACTCCTTAACCTGAGAGACATGCCTCCCTCACAGGACCAGAGGCTTTTGGCGTGTCAGACTCCATTTCCATGGTGGAGGTCACTGAGGTAGTTGGCAAGCACCTCAGTGGCAAGGCACCGGGGGTTGGTGGGATTCAACCGGAAGTGCTTAAGGCTCTGGATGTTGTGGGGCTATTGTGGCTGACACACCACTGTAATGTCGCATGGACCTCAGGAACAGTACCCTTGGACTGGTAGACTGGGGTGGTAGTCCATATTTTTAAGAAAGGGGACTGGAGAGTGTGTGCCAACTACCGGGGTATCACACTGCTCAGCCTCCCTGGGAAAAATCATGCCAAGGTGCTGGAAAGGAGACACCAACTGAAGTCAAACTCAGATTGAGGAGGAACAATGCGGATTCCGTCCCAGCTGTGGAACAATGGGCTACGTTTTCACCCTCACGCAAATTGTTGAGTTTGCCAACCCAGTCTACATGTGTTTTGTGGACTTGAAGACTTACAACTGTATTCCCCAAGATCCTTTGGGAGGTCCTCCGGGAGTATGGGGTGCCAGGGCCACTACTCAGGACCATTCAGTCTCTGTACTCCTGGAGTGAGAGTTGTGTCTGTATACTCAGCATCAAATCAGGCTCATTCTGTGTGAATGTGGGCATTATGTGTGGAGGCTGGAGGGTGGCATCTCTGCTATTTGTGGATGATGTTGTCCTTTTTGCTCCATCGCATGGTTGCCTCCAGCGCTCACTGGAGCAGTTTTCAGTGTGAGCAGTTGGTATGTGGATCAGCACCTCCTAGTCTGAATCCATGATCCTAGCCTGGAAAAGGATGGCATGCCCACTCCAGGTACGGGGAAAGGATCTGCCCCAGATGGAGGAGTTTATGTATCTTGAGGTCTTGTTCACGAGTGATGGGAACAGGAAGCAGCAATGCAATCACTGTACCAGACTGTAGTGGTGAAGAGGGAGCTGAGCTATAAGGCAAAGCTCTCTGTTTACCAGTTGGTCTGCATCCCAACCCTGACCTATGGTCATGAGCTGTGGGTAATGACTGAAAGAATGAGATTGCAAATATAAGTGGCAGAAATTAGCTTTCTTCACAGGGTGGTGGACTACACTCTAGTTGATAGGGTGAGGAGCTTGGTCATCCAAGAGGAGCTCAAAGTAGAGCTGCTACTTCTTCACATTTAGAGAAGCCAGTTGAAGTGGTTTGGGCATCTGACAAGGATGCCCCCAGATGTCCCCTGGACATTTACCAGGCACACCCTACTGAAATGAGACCCCAGGGTCATCCTAGGACCCGCTGGAGGGATTATATTTCCAAGATGGAATGGGAGTGGCTCAGGGTCTGCCAGAATAATTTAATTGAACCGTAAGTTAAGTTTCTAGTTACCACATGAAGTAAATTTTATGATTAATTTTTATGTTTTATTAATGTATATTTTAAAAAGTAAACATTGTATTAAAAAACAGCTCACACTGCTTTTTGCTGACCTTCTAATATTGTTCTTTCTCATTTTCTGCCTACCATCATTCTCCCTTCATTTTCCCATTTCTCTGTTCATCCCTCTCTTCTGATCCCACCCTCTCTTCATCAATGCTACCTATGCCCCTCCAGCCTGCTGTCCCACCTGTGAATATTAGACACTCTGTGTATCTTCACACTTGTGGAAATATGGACTTTTCTTTTTCC